AAAAAAAAAAAAAAAAAACACAAACTTCTAAGTACAGATTCCCACCAGGGTCCCATGCATCTCAGCCCTAGAGAGAAATGTATTTTGAGCTGTTTGCGGGGAGGAAAACTCTAGATTCTTACCTGGAAAACAGCATCATCATCATAAAGGTCAGGAATGCCTTTTAACAGTTTTCTCCATAATTTTACATCTTTTAAAGCAACTGTCATTCCTCCGCCAGTAAGAGGATGCCTCAGGTTATATGCATCTCCCAGAAGAAGAACACCTGAGGAAGGAGAACCAAGAGCATGAAACCCTGCACAACTCTTTGAGACCAAAAAGTTAGTGCTATCGAACTTATGACTGACGTGAGCTAAAATATCCCAAGAATGAATTATAATTAAATTTGCTGTCTGAAAAACTTACAACCTGTATCTCAACAAAGCTATGGCCAAATTAAAATATACATATAATAAGTTCTGTTGTCTATAAGGATAAAACTAAATATTAAACACATAGCCTGCCAGGCATATGGTATGTAGTTCAAGGTCATCCTCAATCATATAGTTTTAGTCTGGGTTTTATTAGACCTTTTCTTCAAAAGTGGGGGGAAAAAGTGGGAGAGTGGGTACTGGAGAGAGGGCTTAGCAGGTAAGAGTGCTCGCTGTTCTTGCAGAGAGGACCTGTTTGGTGCTCAGCACCCACGGGGTCCCCTCTGTAGCTCCAGCTCCAAGGATCCCGACACCCTCTTTAGCCTCTGAGGCCCTGCACACACATGGCAAGCACACATGTAAGTAAAAATAAAAATAAATCTTTAGCCAAGCATGGTCTTGCACAACTTCAATCCAGCACTCAGGAGGCAGAGACTGGTGAATCTCTGTGAGTTTGAGGTCAGACTGGTCTACAGAGCAAGTTTCAGGCCAGGCAGGACTGCAGGGTAAGACCCTCCAAAAAGCAAATAATAAACCTTTCAAATATGAATTGAAAACACAACGGTACCCCAGCTGTCAATCACTATGACACCTGCCCCAAATGCCAGTCACAGGAATCTACCTGTGGTCCTAGAAATGCCACCATACCTCAGCCATCCTCGGGCAGGCTTTACAGATCCCATTACCTCTTAGTCCCTCTTCTCACTGTCCACCTTCCAGACCCAGTGCAGCTTTATAGCCAAGCAATGTCTGCCCTAACCACCCTTCTACTTCAGAACCGCCCTCCCAGCCCTGGCCACCCTGAAACAGTGAATCTGTGGTACCAGTGATGGAGTTATCAATACCACTGTGAACTCATCTTCATGCTCTTATAGAAAAGTGGCTTCTCCAGGTCAACAGGTAACTTTTCAATCCTTTGTTGTACTCTGAATGACTGCATGGTGTCTTCCACAAAGCCAGAGTGGAATTATATTATATGATATAATTATATAATAAAACCCTGATGTTGGAAACACGTTAAGGTACCGAATGTTCCTTCTCCTGCTCTTTTTGGCTGTGTGAACTTAAGTACTCCAAGGTCACCAAGTCTCGGTTTCATGTTATGGCCTGACCACAAATCTAATCCCATGTCATCTGAAGTAATGGCAGCATTATAAAATAATGCTAAGAGGTACCTCGTTTGTTCACTGGGGAGGGAGGAAGGAAGCTTGCTGGCATGGTCCGCAGACGAGAGTTCTGAGAGGCCTCCAGGAATGGCTCCTTCAGGTGGTCTGCAATCAATCCCATCCAACCAAATAAGTGGTGTTGCGCATTTCAGTCAACTTAGCACACATCTTCTTATCAGGCATAAAAGAATACTTAACTGTGTATGTGTTGCGTCTTTTACACAGTTCCTTGCAACAAGCCACCAATTACCTACTTTATTAATAAAATTATCTATTAAGTACCTCATTATTCATGTTAAGGAATGACTAAGGAATCTAAAAGAAAACAGATGTAAATACAGCTGAACAGAACAGAGATTAGAGGAAGAAATGACTCAAATTCACCTGAGATGAGACAGGAGCAACCATGTTAACTGACAGCTGTCAGTCTTTAGCTTTTACCATCCACATATTCTGATACCACAGGAAATACACTGCCAGTTCACAAACAGCTGTGCTTATCCCTGGGCAGCTTTAGACACTGCTGTAGGGAACTGGGAAGAGGCCTTTGTGAGCCCGGCTGCAGACGATAGCTTACAGTGAAAGGAACATCTATTTCTTACCGGGTATTTGGGGGTATATTTGTTCAGCCATGTATTCTCTTAAGTTCCTTGGCATTTCTCCACGAATGTCAACAAGTACTCGGGTTTCATTGGCTGAAATCTGGTAGATAAGAACTGGACTTGGATTGACCAGAACAAGCTCCGCAAAATTGGCTTTAAACTGTGGTGCATTCTAAAAATAAAGGAAGAGAAAATATTGTAATAATTTTCAAATTTCAGGTGACTTGTATTTTTCTACAGTTACCACTCCTCCATACCTTCATAAGGAAGCCAACAAAATGAGAGGAAACAGAAACTTTGTTGGAGATGAGGTTCTTCCTGAACTTGGAGAAAAGCCCGTCTGCAACAACCGTCAAAGGGGCCCGGAGCTCCTGCAACACAGAGGAAGAGCACCCAGCCAATGGTTAGATGCACCCAAAGGCCCGTCCTTCCAAAACAAAGAGTGCTCAGGAAAATACTTAAATACAGTATGTTCTTACAAAAGGCACCAAAGCATCCTGTGGATTTAAGAGAATGAAGCCCTGAAGGCGATACTTCCTGAGTCCCTGGAGGTCATCTCCCTTTGCACCCAAACTATCAAAACTCTCCACCATAATGGACAAGAGGAAGAACTTCAAGGCAAACATGGGCCACGGAAGACTGAAACTTACCACAAACTTTAACAACTACCCAGATTCATTATCAAATTACCTACTTTCACGTGGTGCTGTTTAATGAGCGGCCAGACAGAAGATGTAGTTTCAAACACATGACAATGTGTATTGATATTACTACATTGTGAGCAAAGAACACCTGGTAACCCTATCAAAGTTCAGTTTCTAGGAAGGGATGACCCTGTAGAACAGTCTAGAAGGGCTCTTCCGCCTCTTTCTCTTTAACAGACCAACATTAGCATAAACTAGAAACTATTTGACTGTTACTTGCTTTCAACATTTTCCTAATTCTGACTATAACAACTTGTACAGTAACAATACTGTACACACAGCGCCATCCCTGAGACCCACATAAAGTGGAAGGAGAGAACCAACAGCACTAGTGGTCTTCTGACACACACACACACTCACACATACACTCACACACACACACACACACTCACACACACTCACACACACACACACACACGCTCACTCATACAGAACTGTAAGGTGTGCAGATCTCACTCACCTTGGTGTCTCCGGTCTCCCTGTCCTTGTACTGCACTCCTCTCACGGCGCCATCCTCCTCCAGTAACTGAAGCACGACGCCCTCTATAAACTTGACACTAACGGAGGAACAGAAATACGCTGCTAGAGGATCACACTTGAGCAACTGCCCTTAACTATGATACAGTCTTTACTCTCTACCTCTTGCACTCACAGGAATAGGACACATGTATGTGCATGTGTGTACACAGCAAAAAGCCACCAGCATGTGTATAATTGTGTGTAGTTTTCCCTTTGTAATGTACAACAAACACATATTACAAATGTAATTATTCTTAAAGTATTTTTAAAGTTGTATCATGTCTTTAATCATTCATTAAAAAAAAGAATACAGAGAAAATACTCTAATACAGTCAGACATAAACAGGAAGAATTATTTAAAAAAGTAATTATATTTGGAAAAAAGTAATTATATTTGCTAAGTGGACACAGTATTGAAATTGAAAAGCTCATCAGAGATTTCTTTGTGCAGTGGACAGTGATTAATACAGAAACTCACAACTGGTCAAAAAGTAAGAGAGTAAGCGTCCATGGCACGCTCAGCCACAAATGGGGCATCTATATCATGCCCCTCCCTAGGCTCAGAAGTCACTGCACAGAGCAGGCAGAGTGTAAGAGCCAAAGGCTGGGGAGGACACAGTGGGACCCCTGCACTCCTGAGCCCACAGCGGCTGCGGCTGCCTGCACAAGACAAGCCGCTCCACATCCAGCATGGAGAGGAGGGACTCGGGAGCACCCAGCCCACAGATGCAATGAACAGTTGATGGCTGCTCAGGAAGAGAAAATCGGCTTTCGTTAGGCTGTGGTATCTGATAGGTTGACCATGCTCTGATGGATAGCCTCGTATCCATGAGTATATAAGCAGGACAAATTGTACTCAGTGAGCCATTAAAAAATAAAATAAAAAAGGACATGAAGGTGGGAGTGATAAAGACATGGCGGGGTAGATCTGGGAGGAATCAGGGTAAATAAGATCAAAATATACTGTATGCATGTATCAAATTCTCAAAGAATTGATTACATATTTTTAAAATATAAATAGCATATGACAAATTTAAAAAGTAATCCTATCTGTCAGAAAGATCCTAACTTTTCTATTTGAGGCATTTTCCCACTTTTACACAATGAACACTCTACCTCTGTGCACGCCAAACATTTTAGCCCCAAGGAAAAGTCCACTGACTTCTTCACTCTGTCAACACACAGGCCTGTCAACCACATGGGTGCTCTCATATTTAGAACTTCCTTAACTAGCACTAAAAGATGACAGGCAAATACAAGTTAAGAATCAAGACAAGCAGCCAGTCCTGACAGACTGGGTTCTCAGGGAAAGTAGAACAGGGATTTCTTCTGGCCGTCCTCTGTTCTTTCTAGAAAAGGTATTATAACCACAAACACAGACTCAAATGGGCACACATGGGCAGATGCTCTAGCTACACCACTTAAGCCCAGCCTCTAAATTTCAATCAAATAATAATCATCTAATTCTTACTTAAAGTAAAATTCTCTTAATATTCTTTACAGAAGCACTGAACATATTTTAATTATGGATTATTATATTATACCTATGCCATCTAGACCATGCCAAAAATTTTCATGAACACTGATGAAATCTCGCTTGTAGAAAAGGACATATTTTATTTGATTACACATGAGCATGTGTGCAGATGCCTGAGGAAGGCAGGAGAGGGCATCAGACCCTCTGAATCTGGAGCTACAGGTGGTTGTGAGCCATCTGGGTGCCGGGAACCAAACTCCAGTCCTCTGCGAGAACAGGAAGTACTCTCTGGTTAAGCATCGCCAGGGCCCAGGTTGGATTCCGTCACATTATCTGTTCAAAGCTGTGCTCTTACTTGGGCTCTGCCATAGCTGCTTTCCGGAGACTCATGATGAATTTGCCATGGTGGAAAGCAACTCCACTCTGCACTTGGTTGTCCTCTGACACCGGGTACGGGATTTGAACTTCAGACCTGCTCTCATAGTCATGCACTATGTAGCCGTGTACAAGATGGGCATTAAAACCCTCTACTGTATCTGCAAAAAAGTTCAGTTCAAACAATTTTAGTAATATGCTGAGAGTTACCAAGAAAGGCACCAAGACACAGATATTGAAAATAAAGCTCTGCCTTACAAAGCTGTAAAACCAGTTGGAGAACTAAACAACTGATACAACTATTACAAAAATCTTCAATGTTTTCAGAAGACAAATCCACAGCTGCATTTCAAGTTAATAGCAGTCATTCGGGTCTGTGACTGCTTCACCTCAGACACAATCAAGAAAAGCAACACAAAATGAAATAAGCCACCATCCTCCCTGAGTGAATCTGCTCTCTTCACAAAGCTACAGAACACAGCTGATCCTCCTTAACATGCATCCCAATGTAGAAACACAGGAAGAGGGTCGGAGAAAAGAGGAGGGAGGGGAAAGAAAAAAATAAAATTTCAGTAAAACTATTTTTAAAGGCCCCAATTTATACATAAAGTTTCAGTATATGAAAAGTAGATTTCCCCAACCAAACAGAATGGTTAGTTCCTAAATGTGGATGGTTCCTACTGTATTTGAAAATTGATTCAAGATAAACTGCAGAATAATTTTAGTAAATCTAAACCAGAAAGCAAGACATTCTTAGCTTTTTTACATTTAAGACAATAATATATATATTTTTTTAAGAGCCATTTGAAATTTTGAAAAATTTAAAAATTAGTGGCAATTAAGTGTTTTAGGAAAAATATTAAATAAAAGAAAGCATCACTATTTGTGCATAAAATTTACTCACTAAAAATATTAATATGCAAAAACTAACAAAAAGTGTAGCAATGATTCATACAAAGTAGTATAGAGGCAGTGAACAAACTGGAATAAACCTGGAGTGTTGGCATGTGCCTGAAACTTCAGTACTGGGAGTAGGACAAAACTTGAAAAGATTTGTCCCAGGATCAAAACAAATTCATGTTTTTTGTTTTTTGTTTTTTTTGTTTTTTTTTTGGTTTTTCAAGACAGGGTTTCTCTGTGTAGCTTTGCGCCTCTCCTGGGACTCACTTGGTAGTCCAGGGTGGCCTCGAACTCACAGAGATCCGCCTGGCTCTGCCTCCCGAGTGCTGGGATTAAAGGCGTGCGCCACCACCGCCCGGCCAAATTCATGTTTTTAATATGTCATTCATTTTTATTTTGTTTTACCTACACATATGTGTGTGTCCACATGCATGCCTGGTACCTATGGAGTCCAGAGAGCATCAGATTCCCTGGAAGTGTAGTTTCAGATGATTGTTAAGACATTGTGTGAGTGCTGGGAACCAAACCCAGGTCCTCTGCAAGAGCAGCACACAATTATCCTGTGTATGGAAGTAAGCCATCCACTACAGTCACACATGAGAAATCCAGGCCTGGCATGGCGGTGAGCACCTTTCCTTCCAGTAGAGAGGCAGGCAGATCTCTCTGAGGCCAGCCTGGTCTATATTGTAAATTCCAGGCTAGCCATGGCTACATACCCTGACCCCCTATCTACAAAAAAAAACAAAATAAAGAAATCCAAACACAGCTTTGTGTTCTGACTTCATGCAAAGTTCTGAACTTCAAGCTGAAGAAAACCAACAACAAAACAATGAAAGTCAAAAGCTAAACGAGAGTTCTAGAAATAAACGTTATCAAAAAACCACAGGAGACACAGGAAGTTTCAAATACATAAAAAAATTAAGTATGTGCATAACACAGGACTTTCATGGATAAGAAGTCTATCCTGAAATATGTCGATTCTCCCAAAATTGAACTCTATATTCCATTTTTTAAATCATAATCTTGGGTATGTTGTTTTTCCATAAAGCTTAAAAAAATCTGACTCTAAATTATATTTTAAAAAAGGGTGGAGGGTCTAACAAAACCCAAGATAATGCTAAAGAAAATAAAGTTGAAGGTAGTGAATACTAGATACTAGACATGGTATAGGCATACAGAACTTAAGTTATAATGCATTAGTTACAAGACTTATGGGTATTAAGTGCAATCTATATGGCAATCAGTCCACAATCCAGGATGGATCACTTGATATTATATTAGAAAGCCTTTATCTGCAATGTAACCATTCCAAGAAATTCTATCATACGTAGCTCATCAAACCTTAAGGGGAGTAAACATAGTTAATGTTTAAAGGACTCTTATTGGTGACAGTAAACATAGACTGCATAAATACTTGGAAGACTGTCCCCAGTACAAACTTGGATGGGCTGAAAGACTGGCTCAACAGTTAAGAGTATGCTTTGCTCTTCTTCCAAAGGACCCAAGCTCAATTCCTCACAACCACCTGTAACTCCAGCTCCAGGGGTGTGGGGTACAACTCCTCCACAGGCACCTGTACTCACATGCATGCACAGACACACACACACACACACACACACGCACAGACACACACACACACACACACACACACACAAATAAATCTTAAAAAAAATAAAAAGAATCCACTGGGACTTGTAGCCACAACCATGCAGCTGTTTCCTGAGGCTAAGATTCATAAAATACTGTCTAGTCTTTAGTTTGAAATCATTTCTGATTGGCTGAAGTTAAAAGATAAGGTTAACAAAATCCTGCTTCTGGATATTGACACATTTGCTTGAAGTGCAAGATGGTCCGTCCTGTAAGGAACCTAAAAGGATAGCCATGGAAGCTTCCTTCTTTGCAAAGCCATGTTTTTGTTTGGGTCGAGGGCATGGCGTCTTTTGCTTTCCTCTGGGTTGTTTCTTCTGGGACCTGCTTTGGCTCCCCACCACCTCACTGATCTCTACTTGCACATCCCAGACCTCAGTCCTGGACTTCTTGGCAACAGTTCACCTTACCTAACTTCTATGGCCCTCCCCTTTCTCACACCTAACATCTGACTCATCAGGAGGTTCTACTCACTCTTCCTGCAAAGTAAATTCCCAGGTTGGGTCACACACCTCTCCTATTGTGACTGTGTCCTAATGTCATCAGCCCTGACTGACTGCGCAACAGCTTCCAGATAACCTTCTTCCTTGCCTTACCACACCATGATCTTTTTTATATTTTTATATTACTCAGAATATAGTTTTAGATGATATTCTTGATCACACACTTTTAAAAGCTTCCCTTTGGAGAAAAAACAAACAGGCAGAGCTTTACAGTGGACAACACAAGCCCACAGGATCGAGCCCTTCCTTCACACTATCTGCCACCTTCTCCAGTTGGCTTTCCTCCACTCACAACATGAAGGTCAAGTCAAGCAGGCTTGACAGCTCTTCCCAGAAGGCAAAAGCTAGGCCTGGAATTCATATCTCCTGACATCTCCAACGCTTACTCTCCTCACTCATTTTAATCAAAGGTAATCTCGCAATCAAAAATTATACTCACTCCCCAACTTGCTATTCTGCTCTTTCTGATTTTTCTCTAGTCCTTCTGATCTTCATATATGTTATCTACTTTTTAAAAAAATATATTATCCTTTAGCATTCCCTCTGTAACATCCACTAAGAGGTAGTCTCAGAAAGTAGAACAAAACCTATTTGTCAATGTTTGAAAAGTATTTGTTGGCAGGGTCATTCTCAGCCAGCCTGTGTGTTGATTCAAGTGTGGCTGCAGTCAACTGTGCCCTGAGCTCTCCACTTCTGGCTTCCTCTTAGCTGATAACAATAGGGATGACATTTCAGGGAGAAAGCTTATATGTTTATTTTTGTACTTGTCACTGACACTTAACAATTGTTATGTGTTTATAGGTATAATGTGATGGTTGAATCCATGTACCTTGACAATAAAATTGTGGAACTCAGTATATTCATCACCTTAAAAATTATATTTGCCAATCTCAGCCACAGTATCAGCTTTCCCTACTTTAGCATACATTTCCATAAAAATTACTCATATCAAATATCAAATACACCTGCATTGGCCTCCTATTCCTATCTAATTTTATTCTAGTTCTGTTTTCTGCCATTAAGTTAGTGTCTGAAGAAATGGTTCAGCTGCCTGGTCACTGGCTACTCTTCCAGAGGACCACAGTTCAGTACTCACAACCATCAGTAACTACAGATCCAGAGGATCCAACAAGCTCTTCTGGCTTCCTTGGGCACCAGGCACACATGTAATACGCAGAATATATGTAGGCAAAACACTCAAACATAAAATAGTATTTTTTTCTTAAGTTTTAAAATCTCATAAAAAAAAAATAATTTTCTATGGGTTGAGTGAGGATCTGGTTCAGGGTGCTTGCTTTGTAAGCCCAAGTCTCCGGGTTCAATCCCCAACATCAAAGGAAGGGAAAAAAGTTTTCTAGTTTTAATCGTTTAAGTCTTCCTCTCATTTCAGCTTGGCTTTTCTTGTCAATCCCATAGACTGCCAAGTCCAATGGTGATGGTTCTTCACTCATCTCACCCAGCATTTGATCAGTAAACATGGCACAGCTGTCCTTCCCTCCCTGGTACATATATACCCATGCCTTTCAAACCTATCGCTTAAGGAAAAAAACCTAGGGGCGTGTGTGTGTGTGTGTGTGTGTGTGTGTGTGTGTGTGTGTGTGTGTGTAATCTGTATCTCTTAATTTTATCATGTGTCCACTATAATTTGTTACCAGTCAGCATGTCAGTTAAAACCAACACCATCTTTAATTTGGGTTCAGAATGAGTTCTCCCAGACTCCTAACTTGACCCTTGCTACCCCACCATCACAATCTTATAGTCTATTTATTTATTTATTTATTTATTTATTTATTTTATTTATTTATTTTTTTTTTTTTGGTTTTTCAAGACAGGGTTTCTCTGTGTAGCTTTGTGCCCTTCCTGGAACTCACTCTGTAGCCCAGGCTGGCCTCCAACTCACAAAGATCCACCTGCCTCTGCCTCCTGAGTGCTGGGATTAAAGGCGTGTGCCACCATGGCCTGGCCTTATAGTCTATTCTTTTGGGTTTTGTTTTTTTGTTTGTTTGTTTGTTTGTTTTTTTGAGACAAGGCCTCTCTATGTATCCCTGGCTGTCCTAGAACTCTCTATGTAGGTCAGGCTGGCCTTGAACTCAGAGATACACCTGCCTGTGCCTCCCATGTGTTGGGATTAAATGTGTGGTACCATTCCTAGCTTATAGTCTATTCTTCATACTGTATCCATGGGTTTTTCCAAACACCATTGTAGATAGATGGCAACTTGTGACCCAAAGAACTACAAGGTGAATTCTGAATTGTGATCTTTCAACTGGTAAAGACATAACAAGAATTTTAAAAAGCAAAATAGAAAAAATTTCAGAAGTAGAGATGTAGCTCAGTGGTCAAATATGTATTTAGCATGTGTGGGCCTGAGTTTGAGCCCTAGGGCCACCAAAAAAAAAAGGGGGAACCATTTCCGTCAGACTGAAATATGTATGGCTACACTGAGGCACGATATGACATGAGTTACACTGTGCTGTGTCAAGTGAGCGGCTGCTGGGGAGTTGAAGCCACTGTTTCCAATGCGAAGGACTTCATGCCACACTCCTGCTCCTCTGCTCAGGAAGCCCTCCCTCCGTGACCTCGCTTCTGGCCCTCTCCAACCTTCAGATCAAGTCACCTTCTCGCTCCATCACCACCGCTTTCTCTATTGCCTCCTTTCCAGTTCCCTCCACAAAACAGAAGACAAGAACACAGAGCCTGCAACGCACCAAGTACTGTTTGGAATGGTCTACGTGTCCAAATTCACTTAATTCTCACAATATGTGAAGCAGAGAGTCTTCGAATGCCTTTCTTATAAATGAAGGAACAAATCGTACGCAGAAGGCTAAGCTACTTGGTTTAAAGTTAGTTACCAGGCAAGGCCATACAGCTTTGCAAAGCCAGAGCTGATACTCCAACCCAGGCAGTCGAGCTCTAGAACCAAGGCTTTTGACGAATGCGTCACCTTTCCATTCCTACCAGGCAGGAGGCTACTCACCTGACAGCTGGTTGTCTTTTGTGCTCTACTTTATCTGTCTGATCATCAGTACACATTGGACTCACTATAACACCTCATTCAAAGACAGCAGTAAACAAACATTTCCCAGCTGAATGTAAGAAGTTCTTAAGAAGATCGGAGGTAACAACACCACACCAGGAACATATTACACACTCTAAAAACGATATTCTGGGTACTGAATTTAATGTCTTCGTTTTTTGACATTACATTTTTTTAGACACTTCATTATCTCATTATGTCTAGGTAGCCTCTTCTTCTCATACTACGAATGTTTCCTTTCTCCTTTGCTCTTGTTTCACATCGTTTTTAGCAAATGTGAATTTTATAAGGAAAGGAGGAAAGCACAGTAGTCTAAGGTGAAGGGCACTTATTTCACCATCTCCCTCCTGAGAATCGGAGAGACCTACCTCCGAGGCCCAGTTCTTTGAGGACACAGTAGCCGCCAGGCTGCAGGAGTTCACCAACGATTCTGTCAGGCTCTTTTAAATCTCGCTCGATTACCGTCACCTTTCTTCCATCTCTGGAAAGAACCGTCGCCAAAGCAGATCCAAGTACACCAGACCCCACGATGATGACTTCCGGATCATTCAGGGAAGATGTCGATACTGAGGTAGCTGCTTCTGATGATGTTGTTTCTGAAACGTTGATTTCTTTTCTGCACTGTTAAAAAAAAAAAAAAAAAAAAAAAGCTATTATGCTTTCAAATCTGTTGACTTAAATCATATCCCTACCACATAAACTAGTGGACTTCTACATCTTGAGCAAAAGGTAGACCGCAAACATCATTAAACCAAATCAATGGTATGTTCTTAAATCCAGACCATATATAAAAAATTAGTACCAAAATACTGGCTAAACAGAAATGCATACATCCCAATAAAATTAAACATATGTTCCTTTTTCTGGACACAGTAATTAAAAAGTATTGTATAATATGGGCATATTTAGAAATCCACACCAGGCCAGATACTATAAACGTCTATAGTGAGATTCAAAGCCACAACCTAGGACAAATCCCATCACTTAACCACTCAACTCTGCGAGCACATATTGAGCATCTACAGGTGCAGGTCTCTCACTTCTGACTTGCCATACATCAGTGAGACTCGACATCCTCCAGCAGCTCCCGCGTCTCCAGGTAAGGAGAAAGCCTGAAGTGGTCACGAAACGAAAGCAGCTTGACGGCTGACAACCCAGTTTTCCTACCCCACAAATTCTCTACACAGCACAGTGACAGCCATAGTACTCCAGCCCCCTGCACTAGAACTCAACCCCAAGGGGGGCGTTCTCTACAATACAAATACCGGAGTTTCCACCTTGAGAAATAAGGCCTCGTCTCCAACCCCCAGTTGCCATGCCCCCGAATAGGCAGTGCTACCCAAAAGGCTCCTAACAGACAGACCAACTCTAGACTAGTGGGAACAGCTGGTTACTTATGAGATGGTGATGCACCAGGCACTCTGCAAATAAGAAGTCACTTAACTCCCTGTCTACAAGCCATGGTGGTGACACACTCATCTAACAGAACAGAAACTGATTCTTACAGAAATCAGCCCATTCTCAAAGTGTCACTGCCAGAAGTGGCAGAGCTAAAATTCAGAGCCAAGTCCCTTTCTTCTATCAACTTTGCTCACCTGTACTGTGGACATGACAAAATGGAGCAGACCCAGAAGCCTGTGCTGCCCTGTGGGTAACTCATTCTATCTGGCCCTATCTTCTATGCCAAGTTGGGTACCCTGCTACAGTCTCATAGCAATATTTATGTTGTTGTTATTTAAAAATCAAGCATTGTTACTCTCACTCTTAAAGTCTTTCCAGTGTTCTTGGGGGGAAAGTTCAAATAGCCACTTGATCTGGCTTCTACTGTTCCCCCTCTTATCTGGCCCCCAGCGGCCTCCATCTTTCCCTGGCAGTAATAACATTATGAGTATTTAAAGACCCGGTCTTGGACACAGGACCATCGTTCAGTTATTGACTCGGGACATGACTGCACTGGTTTTATTCATTACTTCAAAGACTAGCAGGAGGGAGGATCTTTGCCCAAGCCTTTAAAGCATTGAGCATTTGTATTGCCTTTCAAACTGTTCTGTCCCTTTCCCCAGTCAGCTGTCACTTTTCTAAGTGGCCTTACCTGCCACACAATAATTTTTTCTCAGGTACCAATGTCATCCTTATCCAAGGATTTAAAGAAAAGCCACCCTGATTCTGTCCGCCAAATGAAATGCTAACATTTCCTATCAAATCAATATCCAACCCCTTATCTAAGGATCAGCCAACACTAAATGAAAAAAACCCTCTTGATCTTTCCTAAAAATCAAAGATCACAATCTGGAACTTTTTAAAAAAAAAAAAAAAATCAACCAAATGCGAATAGTGACGTTTCTAAGCCGTCGTCACTTGCTTGCCTTTTCATGAAACCGTAAACTTCAGTGACCCCGATCTTAAGTTTAAAATAAGATGCCCCTCATTTGCCCACCGTGGAATCAGCCTACCTTATTGGACTCCAGCTCCTCTTTCTTTTCTGACTCAGGGGGTGACTTGGCCCATAAGAAGCCAATAAGAGGCAAAGCCGAGAGAATATCCGAGAAGGCAGCGAACTGGGAGCCGCTTTGCTGGCGCCCGAGGAGGCCCGCGTTTCGATGGCGACAGCGGTAGGAGAGCACCAGGCCCAGAGACAGGAACACCACCACGCACAGCAGGAGCTCCTTGTTGGCCAGGGTGACATCCCCGCATTTCTTATAAAAATAGGTGAACGTGGCAATGCCAAGAAAAGTCCACATGGTTCAAAAGGCTTCTTTGGTGGCTGAGGATTTTTGGTTTTTTGTGGTTTTTTTTTTTTGGGGGGGGGTGTCTTTTTTTTTTCCTCGGGAGGGTTTTGGTGATTAAGACGTTCTCTCCAAAATGTAGTTGTCAAAAGGGGGCGCGGGACACTGGCCCAACTCCTTCCTGTCAATAGTTTCAGAGTCAGACGAGATCAATTCGTGAAACCATGGAGAGTACAAATGTATCTTAAGTTGTCCGAGACTTAGAAAGCAGCATTTAAAGCCTGCCTACAGCTCCTGATCAGATCATTCGGCCAGCTGACAGACGGGTCTCTCTCTCTCTTTCAATCTCGCTATTGGGCAGAGGAGGGGGTACGAGTGTGGCTGTGCGTACACTTGGATGTCCGCTCCTCGGGCTCTAAGTGGTCTATTGTCAGCAGCCGCAGGGGCTCGGCGGGAAGGAGTTGGCGAAGAAGGATCAGGGTGCTGGGAAAGCCGCCCCTAAGCGACACTGCCCGGCAGCCTTCTCCAACCAACAGAAGACCCGGCCCCGGAGTCCCGAAGCCGGGCTGGAGCGGGGCGGCGCAGCTCTCCCCGGAGACCTCTCCTGGGCAAGCCCCGAAGTCACGGCCCGGAACCTGCCCGACCGCCACTTGCCTTCCTCGAGGGTGAATGGCTGTCTCCGGAGAGCGTCCGTCAGGGCTCGGCGAGGACGACGCCGGACCGCCAGGTCGCCAGCATCCCTCGCGGACAGTAACCAGAGTAACCACCGCGCGCCCCGCTCGCACCTCGGCCCCACGCGCTCCAACCACCCGGCGGGCTCGGCCCAGCCGAGGGACCAGGGGGCGGGGCTCCGGGGCCCGGCACCGCCCCGCGGGCAGACCCCGCCTCCCACGCCGCCCCGGGCCAATGAGAGCGCGTACCGCGCGGTAGGCTGAGATGGCGCTATGGAGCGTTTGGCCAATGGCGGGCGGCTCGTTCCGCGCGGCGCCAGTCGCAGAGGCTCTAGGGCGATGTTGCGTGGTGCGGGGCGGGTGCGTGGGGTGGGCGCCGGCCCGGTGGGCGGATGGGGCGGTGCCGGCTCGGCCGGGCTCCCGCGGGGTCCTCGGGTCCCCACCTGCGGAGGGCGGAACTAACTCTGGAGCAATGCCTGGTTACCGTGCCCAGCCCAGGCCGTAACCGAACCGAAAGAGGCGGCCCGGCGGACTGTGTGAGCACGGGCGAAAAAGGCGTGAAGGACGTGACACACCAGCGATCCTGGTGTCCTTCGTGCACGGAGGCTCAAGGGAGAGGCGAGGCGAGGGAGGTGGAGCACGCCTTTAATCCCTGAGCTAGGGAGGCAGGTGGATCTCTGAGAGTTTGAGACCCATTTGGTCTGCATAGCGTGTTCCAGGCCAGCCAAAGCTGCATGGTGAGACCCTGTACACACACACACACACACACACACACACACACACACACACAGTTCTGATAGTGTTTTCTAGGCCAGCCAAAGCTGCATGGTGAGACCCTGCACACACACACACACACACACACACACACACACTTCTGTCAGCAACACCGAAACTGTTTAATAAGATCCTCTTACGTTTTACGCACTGTGCCAGAAGCTTTGCAAATATTTATTCAAACCTTGCAGCAACCTTCCAAGAGAGGTATTGCCTTTGTTTTACAGGTGAAGGAAGTGAGCGGTTTATCTGTCATAGTTCATGAGACTGATCATTATACCGCCCACAGCTACTGCCTTGTCACCGAGTTTCGGCCTCAACAGTACCATTTAATCACGCATCCATTGAATTCTTAGTTATCTATGTTTTCTTCTTAATACTGTAAGATCTTGTCCTGAGATGTTACTATTTCTAATTGTGGCAATATTTTGTGACATACGAAGGTAGACAGAGATGCATGAGTGGAAGTAGTGTAAAATTCAATAATGCTTGCCCTCTTTTTAAATGTAGAAACTCACCCTTAACTATTTCTCAAATATCTTTGTTAGTTTCTGCTATCTTTTTTAGTTATGCAACCATTCAGAAAGGTACAATTGTATGCTGTATCATAATGAAAGAAGAGATAAATCTCATGTTAACCAGTTACCCACCAGCCCTTTACAGCAGCCACATTGACCCTATCTAGCTCCACATATTTTAAGATTTATTTATTTATGAGTCCTGTCTACATGTATGTCTGCACATAAGAAGAGGACATTGGATCCCATGGGACTACAGTAATAGCCGCCATATGGGTGCCAGGACTTGAATTCTGGACCTCTGGAAGAGGAGTCAGTGCTCTTAACAGCTGAGCCATCTCTCCAGCCCTAGTTCTACATTCCCAATGCACAACCTCTCCATGGTCTTCGTGAAATATATCTTGAATCCAACAGTAAGCTGAAATTCTAGGCAATTTAAAGGAGTCTTGGCCTTCCTAAATGTCTATCACCTTGGGCACTAGTAGGAGAAAATAAAAGGTATCAAATGCTTTCAAAAGCATCATTTCCACAGAACATCGGATGAATTCTCGGTTGTCAGATACATAAACCAAGCATACAAAGATGCAAAATAAAACTGCCAGTCCTGAAGCTGAGGAGTCGTGTCCAAAGGTAAAACACAGAATTAGCTCAGGGAAAAGACTATGTCCACATTTAAAAATGGAATTTGAGCCAGGCCATGGTGGCGCATGCCTTTAATCCCAGCACTCGGGAGGCAAAGGCAGGTGGATCTCTGAGATTGAGGCTAGCCTGGTCTACAGAGTGAGTTCCAGGACAGCCAGGGCTACAAAGAGAAACTCTGTCTTGAAAAACAAACAAACAAAAATCTAAAATGAATCTTTTATTTTTCAGACACAGAAAACATTCAAGAAATCACATTATTTGCTTAAAATTACTCTTTCCCTGGGTAAGCCCACAGAGCAAGTAATGAACTATCTCCATTTGTTAAGACAAAATGTAGTAATTCATTTGCAATCCTTACTTTTACATGTCTTTTTGCTTAGTCATAGGAATACGCTTTATATTTTCCTTTGAAGCTATTCCTATCTCACCTTGAATTATTTATTTGTTTGTTTGTTTGTTTTGAGACAAGGTTTCTCTATGTAGCCCTGGCTGTCTTGGAACTCTCTCTGAAGATCAGGTTGGCCTCCAATTCAGAAATCCACCTGCCTCTACCTCCTGAATGTTGGGGTTAAGGGCCCACACCATTACTGCTTGGCTTTGAATTTTTTTTTTTTTATGATAATAATGTCTACCTTTTCTTCACCCTGAGTGGTATCTCTCACTGATGATCTCATACCCTGTTGATGGGGGTCTTCACATTAGTTAAACTGGGAGGTTGACTTTTTCCAGATCTTTTGGCAAACACAACAAAGAAACTTCAGAGGGCAATGAGCACAACACCTTAATTCTAATGGTCTAATAAGGAGGGAAAAAAAAAAAAAAGAAACCCCGCCAGGCCCTGGGACTCAAGAAGAATTTGAGGCTGAAAATGGAAGGATCGGGACCATTTCTCCTGAACAGCTTCTTTGGGTCCATTCATGAAGAAAGTCCCTCACCTGAGGAGGTTGAAAAGACTTGGATGTGGGTCTTGCAGTGCTGACCAGGTATGCACTCCTGCTGAAGCGTTTCTCACAGTCAGCACATTGGTAAGGTTTCTCTCCTCTGTGGGTTCCCTGGTGCCTGATCAGATTGAACCTCTGACTGAAGGACTCACCACTAAGGCTTCTCTCCCATGTGTGTCCTTTGGTGAAAGATTAGGGTAGAGCTCTGACTGAAAGTCTTCCAGCACTCAGAGCACCAGTAAGGCGTCTCTCCACTGTGTGTTCTCTGGTGTCCACTAAGGTGGGAGCTAAGGCCAGCACTCTTTCCATAGCCACAGCATTTCATAGTTTCTCTCCTAGCTGGACTCTGCACTCTTCCATCACACTGTAGCTCCGATGCACACTTTCTTCACATTCAGTTTTTCCAGAGGATTTCTTTCCTGTGAGCATTTTCTGGGGTGTTTGAACCTCAACTAAAAGTCTTTCCACATTCTGGACAGTGATAGGGTTTTTCTCCTGTGTGTATTCTCTGGTGCTTTGTTAGAGTCGAATTACAACCAAAGCCTCCTCTACACCCAAGACACAGGTAGGGCTTTTCACATGTGTGCGTTGATCAGGCTGGAACTGTGACTGAAGCTCCTCCCACAACCGGGTACCTATAGGGTTTTTCTCCAATGTGAGTCCTCCTGTGTTCTATTAGAACATAGCTGTGGCTGAAGCCTTTTCCACACACAGGGCATCCCTATGGCCTCTTACCGGTCTGTGATCCGTGATGCTGAATTAGGTGAGAGCTGGTACTGAAAGCCTTTCCACAGGCAGGACACTTGAAAGGTTTCTCTCCTGTGTGAGTTCTCATGGATGATAAGATGGGAAGGTATAGCTGAAGCTATCCCCACACTTGTTACGCAGGAAGGGCTTCTCCCCTGTGTGTGTTCTCAAACGCTGAATCGGGTGGGAACTGTTAGAAAAGCATTTCCCACATTCAAAACATGTATATGGTTTTTCTCCCAGGTGTGTTCTCTGGTGTGTCCACAGGTGAGAATTATTGCTGAACATTTTTTTTCTAGCATTTAGGACAAATGTAGGGCTTCTCTCCAAAGGATGAATGGACAGAGGTGTTGACATGTTCTCTTGAACCCCATCCTCCATGGTAAGGTTCCCCCTTCTTTTCCTGTAGAATCTTCCCATTTCTCTGACTTGACATAATTCTCATAAGAATCATGACACCAAATCTCATCTCCATGAGATAATATCAGCATTTCTTCTGTATTTTCCTGCTGAGAATTCTGTAGAACACTGTGGAGCTTTCTCTTTAAGTTTGTCTGCCTGCGGTGTATTGATTTTGAACAGTCCCTAAATTATCTTTATCTTCATCTCCTGCAAGACTTTAAAAAAAAATTAATAGATAAGCACAGTCCCTTATCTTGCCTGACAAGGAAATTCTTAACTGAAGCAAGAGAGAATCAGAGAATAACAATGAAAAACCTCATAAAGTATTTCATACAAAACTTTCTCTTTAAAGTTTGTGTATGTGCGGTGTGCTGGGAGATGTCTTACCTTGGCTTTCTTTCTTTTTTGTTTGTTTGTTTGTTTGTTTTTTGTTTTTGGCTTTTGGAGACAAAGTTTCTCTGTGTGACAGTCCTGGCTCTCCTGGAACTCCCTCTGTAGACCAGGCTGGTCTCGATCCCACAGAAGTCTGCCTGCCTCTGCCTCCCAAGTCTGGGGTTAAACATGTATATCACCACAACCCAGTGTGGCTTTGTGTTTCTATTGCTATGATAAAATGCCATAACTAAAAGCAACTTGGGGAGGAAAGTTTATTTCATCTCATACTTACTGAAGGAAGTCAGGGCAGGAACTCAAGGAAGGAACCAGGAGGCAGGATCTGAGACAGAAGCCATGGAGGAATGCTATTTACTGTCTTGATCTCCATAGCTTGCTTAACCTGCTTTATTACCATCCCAGCCTACAACAGGCTGGGCCCTCCCACATAAATCACACCAATTCAGTGGAGGCGTTTTCTCAACTGACGGTCCCTCTTCTCAAGTAACTCTAGCTTCTGTCAAATTGACTAATATAAACTAACCAGGATGAGGGCATGTGCATAAGAGTACAGGGACCAGTGGAGAGCAACTGCCGCTGATCCCTTGGAGCCAGACTTACAGGCAGTTGTGAGATGCTGATGTTGTTACTGGGAACTTAACTCAGGTCCTCTACAAGGACATCTGATACCCTCTTCTGGCCTCCATGGCACTGCACAGACATACAGGCAGACAAAACACCCACACATAAGATAAAGAT